GTAAGTGGAGGGGCTGATTCTCGTTGGCTCCCATTCTCAAACTGGTCACTCTGCTGCTACTCTTTACTAGTATCTCTTCGGTGTTGCAACTAATAGTCTATTACGCTCATGTGCTTACATATCGTCCTGTTTCGTTATTTTATATAAATCTTGTAAATTTACTGTAAGTTGAAAAAATATGACAGTTTTCTATTTCAATTTATATCGGGATTCTATTCGAATTGTTTTCTCTTTTTATTAGTAATATTACCTCCACTGTATTTATGTCCATGTAAACGTGATTTGTCCGCTAATGTTTTTAATTCATCTCCTGTTACTGTAATTATATAAAAATTGTAATTGATATTTGTAAGTAACAAAATTCTATTCAGACATGTACCATCGACCAAAAATTCAGAGCATTCGATTAAAACCAAATGTTTCGCTTATCGTTACGTTAGTTTGGGCATTATATATTATATAATTAAAAACATATAGCTTACAGATATACTTAGCCAATATGAATGACTGCGTCTTAATGTTGTTTTCAATATCCTGTATGATGTCACCAATACGATTAGCAATAGTCATCATTTCTGAGGGATCACTCCCCTCCATTAAATTGATACTTGGTTTCCAAAAATAGTCTATTTTACATTGCTCACATACTTCCCTTAGAGTTTTAAGCATCTGTAAGCATATATGTACAGTATACATACGTGCACATATACAGGGTATCCTAGAACTGGTGGTCCTCTTTTAATGGAAGGTTCCTGAGATAATTTTGAACAATACTCTCCTTCGTCAAAAGATTGTCCGAAGTGTGGTTATCGAGTTATTAACAAAAAACCTCGACCAGTCAAAGCGCCCGTATAACGCGCGGCCAAAAGCGCGATAACCATAAAGATAATACACATAGAGAAGGTGAATCATGGTGACCTCTGCAAGTGAAAACGACCCGCGATAGAAAAAGAGAGAGAATCGGTTATACCGTCTGTTCTTCTCTAATGGCGCACGCGCGCTGCTCAGTAGCAGCAGCTTCATATTTGTTGTTGTCATTCGATTCTACTGCGCATGCGTCAGTAGACAAGGACAGACTGGGTAACCGATCTTTTTTCTCTTTTTAACAGATGGACACGTTTTGGCGCGGCTCACTCCCTCGCGGTCCT